ATGCATGTTTTTCCACTTACCAAAATATGCTAAATCAGTAAATCGTCTTTTGTGCTTTGTATTTACTTTTTTTTTAAAAAATTAAAAATTGAAAATATTAGAATAATAATAATAGCAATAGGATACATCAAATCAGTTAGTACTAAACTTTTATCCGGGGTTAGAAAGTGATACTTTAGAAACGATCACGGTTTTGAAAATGTACAGATTAAAGGGTCAAAATTTGATACTATTGACAAGGATATGTCAAACAACATGATTATTACATATGTCACTGGTAACAACATTGTTTTTATTTTATATTATTTTTAAAAGATAAACTTACTACTATTATTAGACTAAACGATTACACAATTGGGATATGACAAAAATACGGATAAGATTTATCCCTTATAAAAGGGAGATTTCCCTTATCCGAAATCACCCTTTACTTAAAAAACACACCCCTTGCCTTTTCCTCTTCGGTTTCCATGGATCCTGGCAACAAAAACCATCAAGCTCCGTCTCCGTTCGACGAGCATTTTCGAGTGCTAAATTTATATTTAGCTTTGATTATGGCGTTAGTGGTGCTACTAATGGCGTTAATGATTTTCATAATCATGAATAAATGACGATTTGAAGTTTCCGGCACGGAGTGTACAAGGTTCGAGTTATGCTACAAATTAGCCTCGTGTTTTGTTCGTAAATTAGGAGTACAAATTGTAAGGGTTTTGTATACTCCAAAATTATGAGTAAACACTACTTGAACTTGTCTCTTATGTCTAATTATTGCGGTTGTCGTTAGCAAAATTAAATTTTGTTATTATAATTATGAAATTACAAAATTTATTAGTTAATTGAATGTAAAAAAAATTATGGAAAGTAGGGGATCAAAATTTGGTGTCTACAGCGGGGGGACACCACGAGCATGAGACGGGGTGTATACAAGGTAAGAGTGGACAGTGGAGGGGTTGTGCGCAGGAGGTGGAGGCAGTGAGGTCCGCGGGTAGAGATGGAAATGGATCGGGGTCGGGTGATGCTTCATCCGCCTCCATCCACCAACGATCCATCCATCACCCGACCCATCCATCACCTAATTTTTTTTCATCCACATCCGATCCATCCGTCATCCATGGATGAATCGGGTGGATCGGATGATAATTCGGGTGAAATTAATATATAAATATAACTTTTCATTTTCATAATTAAAATCAAGATTTGACAAAAAAAAATTGATCAATTTTATTAAAACTTTGATACATCTTTATAATTAATACTTGTTCCTTTTAACTAAATTAAAACAAATGTCAATTCCTAACACTACAATAGACATTAAATTATTAAAAAAATATATTTATTTTTATTTTATATATATATAAATTTAACGGGTGGATGGATGGGTCGGGTGATGGGTTGGATGTATCATCATCCGTATCCTACCCGATCCATCCATCATCCATCCATCATCCGCTTAAGTTCGGGTTTTCATCCATATATTTGGATCGGGTGGATGGTTATCCATTGGGTTTGGATGATATTGTCACCCCTATCCGCGGCAGGAGTGGCGTGGGTAGACAAGCCATAGCCATATGGCTTGCCAGCGGTGTCCTCTGCAGCTCTGCCTAGCAGGTTGATGATGGCGCGCATTTGAGCTGCTAGGAGGGGTTGGGCAATTTTGAGAGTAAGGAAGAGCAGTGGGCTATTTAGGGGGTTTAGGCTTCATGAAGAAATGGGAAACCAGGGGTTTTGTATCATCAATCATAGCCCAAAAATTGTAATTTTTCAACATACAATTGGTCAAGCTCTTCCCTACCTTATAAAAAGTGGGAAAATACTCTTATGAATAGTGTCAAGACTATTATACCCTTAAAAAAGTTAATTGACATATTTACCCCCAATTAAAATTAATTTTAATGCATTTAAGTATTTAACCTTTCGTATTTTTGTCCTCTATTTCTTTTGTTTATCGTCCTTCTTATCATTCCATCGAAAAGGCCAAAAAATCCTCATTTCTCAATTTCCTCTTTTCTCACGAACTCCTTTTCTGGTTGCTGGAAAATACTGCTAACATGTCAGTTTCCATTCCCCCGGTCACCACCCACCACCGCGATAATTCTATAAGGATAATGACCCTGCTGGTTGTTTTTTTATACTAAAGGAAATGTAAAGTTTGTGCAATTTATTTGTTTATGTTATACGAAGAGGTGAATAAGCATACTATTCGGAGACGCCCGTATCCAGTTAGAGTTGGGGAAAACTCAAGATTGGTGGAGTTGACGGATGAATGCAATAATGGTACCTTCGTGGTGGTGGAGTGTAAAGTGTAATGCTTGGATACCATTAAAATAATAAACCAAAAAAAAAGTAATACTTTTGATATAATCTCTTTTAGTTGTGTTTATAGGGAGTCAAACAAAGCAACTCATTTGATGAGTCTTCTGCGGAATGTAGCAGTTATGTCTTACATATGAGGTACTATAGTCTTATGCTTTTGATTAAGAGATTGTTTGGAGATTTATTTTGCTTTAGTTACTGTGTCATTGGCTCGATTTTTACCCTAGGAAAAGCTTATACTTTATGATTATAGGAAAGAGTTAAGACGTACTCATACATCATCAGTTAAATACTTGTAGTTCATAAATGCTATCTCCTCCATTATATGGTCCAAAGACTATATAAATGCAGGGAAATATACTAATTCACATAGCCTTTGTGCCAGGGTGTTCAATGAGGGTTTTGTTTTTTCCATAACACTCTTATTGTAGCTATAGAATGATGCAATGGCTTTGATTGTCTTTTTATATCGTGCTACAAATATCACTATACCTTACTAACCAAGGTTAATGCTTAAACACATTTACAGCCCAAAAATGTTGAACAAGATGAAACATTCTGGATTAAAGTGACTATTCCAGAACCTGACTTGAGCAAAGTTTATGCATATGCTGGTTGTGTCAATTGCGGTAAACGAACTCATCTTCGTATAGGCACGCCTTTTCCTTGTGCTTCTTGCAAGAAAGGAGAAAGTTACTCCGCTTATAGGTAATAGGCCTAACCTCTAATCCATTTTAATTGTAGTCTTTAACTTGCTTATACACTAATGCTATCTACCATAACCATAGTAACTTTCAAGTTTGAAGCAAAAGATGACACTGGTACAATGGCATTTCACTTCTTTCAACAACGACACAGAAAGACTCTTCAGAAGGCCATCAATTGAAATATGCAGCATTAAGAACACTTAAGAATTCATCAATTAGATAAATTCTAAAATTACTTTTGCAATTTGATTTACCTTTACCATAAATTATTTTCAATTAGCTACATTAACTTTCAGTTTAGATTATAAATAAATTCACTACAAATCTTTTGGCACTTACATACCTTTATAATCCATTACATACAGGAAAACTTAATTGCTTTTGGAGAGATAGCAGCACTTATTTCAACAAAACCTTTCTTCATTAAAGTGGGCCTAGCAAATGAACTGTCATCAAACAATGTGCTCATATGGATTTTGAAAGCAATTGAAGTTGAAGATGAATCTGCACAACCTACAACTGCACATACAATATCTGCTGTTCGTTCCACAAATGAAGAAGCAACCTCAATTAAAAATCTGGAAAAAGTTCAGCATGAACTTAATCTAGAAGTGAAAGCACATGGTAAGCAACCTTTTCTTAGTGAGTATGAAACAACACCTGGTTTCGGCCAAGATCCTGATGCAATTGATGATGCCGCATTTGCTAAGCTTGTTTAAGTTGAAGAGTACACCAACACTGCTAACAACCCAGTACCATAACAACTGATGTTCAAGCCCCTTCAAATCAAGGAACCAGAAAGCTTTGAACAACCCGATTCAGTGAGAATGTTGCCAACATGGGCACAACATTTCCGTAAATGAAACATCAGCAAGGACAAAGCATCCACTGACACTACTTCAGAACTAACTACTGCACCTATGGAACATGATCGTTTCACCTACTAGCACTCTTGACAAAGAATGAACTCCAAGGAAGCCCACATTGTACATAGGCAGTATATCCTAATGACCTGATCTCAGTAGTAAGTATGATCCAGCGATTTCTAATCTAAATATTGCCTTACTTATTAAAAGGCATAAATCTTTTGGGTGTTTAAAAGGAACATAGGCCATAAAAATTGTTCCCTATAAACACCAATATTGTATATAGCAATGCTCATATGCATGGTAGTATGTAATTCTAAGCTTAGATGCTGCTAAATTAGTATTTTGGGCACAAAGTAAGAAGATAGTCTAGCTTAGCAACTATCTAATGTACATAGCAGTAATGGCATATATTGCCTTAGTATGAAATCTGAACTCCTGTACTGAATTGTTATTTCAGACTACAATGATATATAAAATAAGTTTATTATGGTACTCGCTTTTTCATTAGTTTGTCATTATTACTTATATGCTTCAAACAATTTCAGACAACATTATACTAGCAGATTTTGTTGTATTACTTCTGATTATTAACACTACTTTACATAGGACAAGTAACATAACACAAAAGATATTAGCACAATATTAGACTATAAAGTTTAGATACAAAACCCAAGCCACCCATAGCAGCAAATAAACCTACTTACAACATTTTAATGTCCTTGTGCTATTATAAAGACCATAAAATGTTAATTTTTTTCTATGGTTTTTTTTTTTTACAAAATTTTTTTTGGTTAATATTCAATAGGAGGTGTGTTAATTTTTTGACGGGAACGGGAGGTAAAGTGTACTTGACATTATATAAGTACTTCCTTCGTTTCTTTTTAGTTGACACGTTTTTTAGTCACGTTTGCCAATGTACTTATTCAATCATTAATATCTTTAATTATCGATAAGCAAAAATTATGAAAAGTTGATATTTTGAAAGTATATAACGTAACGAATCTAACAAGATCTCACATAGACTATATTTTTCATTACGTATAAAACTCAAAACACGGTCAAAGGGAGGTGTGTTAATAATGCTAAAGTCAAAACGTGTCAATTAAATAAAAATGGAGCTAGTATATTACGGGAAAAAAAAAATAAAAAATATTCCTCTTATGTTTACATTTTGAGCCCAAACGGTGAACCGGATGGAACACAAAAAAAAAAAAACATTTTGTTTTGTTTTATGTTTTTTTTTTACCCTCTTTGAAGCCTTTCTCACGTTAGCGCTGGATCGCTGCACCCTCTCTCTCTCCTCCATTGAAGCGTACTCTGAATCCTCCATTGAAGCACCTTCCGAGCTTTCTCTCCTCCATTGAAGCAGCTTCTAAGGTAACATGTTTTCACATTAATCATCGGATTTCATTTTCACAATCTAGTGTTAGTCGTTAATGTAATTGTCATTAATAGTTAATTTAGGGTTCTTGAGTTCTGCTTAGTTAGATTATTGAACTATTTGTTATAATTACTGATGTACTTAAGTTTTGAATGATTATTATGACGATCGATTTTGTTGCTAAGGAATTTGCAGTTCATTTTCTTAAAGCGTGAAGAATTTGACGTGATTAATGTTGCAAATCGTTTTTCATTCAATTATATCTGTGATGAAATGTAAATGTATGTCAATTTTCTCGATTGTTGATTTAAAATTTCAATGTAATGTGATTGATGGGTTAGAAAAGAAAACTGCTGGATTCAATGGTTAAAATCTTGGATTTTTGATGGATATAGATTAGTTTTTGCTGTTAGGGTTTTTTGAGAACTAAGGGATTGTACTGATTTTTGTAGGGGTATAATGTGCTGAGTTGTTTAAGCGAACGACAATCGACTTTGGCATTTTGATTTACATCTTTCTAGTGTGAAGTGTTCCTCCAGAAGTATTTTGAAACAGTAAATTCTCTTTTAAATCTAGTATTATACTTCGTATCACTTGTTTCGTTTTAGCAATCTTATAGTGATATCTTGATACCGGGGTTGACAAATTTGAATATGAAATATTAGTTAATATAATCATTGAATTGAGGATCTGATAAGCTTGGGTGTGTAAATAAAATGTGTGCTTATTAGATATAATTTGGAATCTGAGCAATGGAAATCTTAACAATAAGTTGTAATTTTGAATTAAATTACTTACTGTTGACATTTTCATCAATTTTGTTTTTTCTCCACCCTTCTGAAATTTGTGGATACGCCCTTGGCATTTTTCTTTCAGGTAGCAAAGACTGATTGGATCTTCATATGTATAAATTTTGTACATGATGTGATAGAATGCCAATAGCATTCATTTGATTACTTTGGTTGACTTGTGAGAGTGATAACATTTCAAAGCTTCTGATTCTTCCATGGAACCTTTCTTGAAATCCAGTGGTATTCCTGAGGCATGGCATATCATTGTAGCAATATATTTCGCTGTTTTCTTCGTTGGTGCAAGATTCTTCTTAGACAAATTCATTTTCCGGGTAAGTATCTCTCAGTTTCCTTTCTATTATTCCATTGAATACACCTCTGCATTTTTCTTTCTTATGTTGTTACTTAATTGCTTTCTTTCTTAGTACTAATTTTAAGATGGGTGATGCATTTTCTCTTATAATTTTTTTATGTTATTAATTTCAGTATCTTATTTGTTAAACGCAACAGTGTTCTGTCTGTAAGACTGAAATTGAACATCTGAAGAGTATGCTTATTGCTCTGTAGTTGTTTGCTTTGACTTAGAATGAGCTGGAATGTTATGCTTTGACTTGCCTATATTACCACTCAGAGGTGTGACTTACCTCACTGAGGTTACATGAAATTAATTATGAATTTCATAATGAATACCTGTTAGGAGATGTTGGAGTCTCCAACATGCTTGTAATTTTAGGAGATGTGGTGCAGATCCTTTTTATCCATAGAAATCCATCAAAAAATTTTCTTATTGTATAACAAATTGACTATCAACTGAATGGTCATGTTTTGATGTTTGGCTACCTATTATTCCATGTTTTTTATTGATTCAACTTCTAATATAAATTACGTGGGATGTACTAAGATAACCGAGTCTACCACCTTGAAAGGGACCTAAGATAACAGGTGTATATATTCTTGATGCTCTGTGGTACAATATGAGATGTTTATGGTTGTAGATATAGTATCAGATTATCAACTAGGAAGAGACCTAGGCATTTGTAATTATTACTGTATGAGTTATGAGTTCTCTTTGACCATCTTGAAGTATGTAGCATTTAGCAGTTTTTGCGGTAGAAGCCATGTCTTGTAATGAATAAATGATAGCGTGATCAAATCTCTTCAGTACATAGTATAGGAGAGTACAGGTGGTGAAATTTTATCGAGTACAAATGAACAAAAAATAGTGGTTTTTTTTTTTCTTCACTTATTGTTTTTCATTACTGGGGACCATAATGTTTTGAAAGAGTATCAGAATAAAACGAAAGGATTTACATTAAGTGGACTCATCCCAAAGGAGTAATGAGAAGTATTTCGTGGGACAGATATTTAACAAAAGAAAGAGAACATGAGAGTTGAGAATACTTGTATGAATTGTATTTCTAAACAATACATGAGGAAATTCTTTTCACATAACAGCAAGGAAAATTTTGTTTGATTATAGCAATAAAAAAATGGTTTGATTGGTTGCTTAGAATTAATAGATGTAAAAGGAATAATAATAAAATCTAAAGCTTCCTTGTTTGGTGTAAAGTACTTCAATCTTCATTTTCTCAGCCAAAATTAGAATCTTCAAGCTATTTGATTCATGTCGTCTTAATTTCTTTGACTATTCTGGGATTGCAATAATAGGTATTCCAATTCACTTAAAGAGTGTTTGACATCATTTTGTAACTTTTTTTTTTTATATATAAATATTTTAGAGGCTATCCATATGGTTATTGAGTTTGAGTAAGAGAGCTGCTCCATTGAAGTTTGACGAGGCTACCAAAGCAAAAATCGCAAAGTGCTCTGAGTCATTATGGAAGCTGACTTACTATGCCACAATGGAGGCATCAATTCTTTGCATTATCTATTATGAACCATGGTTCAGAGATTCAAAGGAGTATTTCAAAGATTGGCCAAATCAAGAGCTCAAGTGAGTAAATACTTTTTATTGAGCAGTAACCTATATCTGCTTTGACATACTTGCATTTAAAAGTTGTAAAATAAGTGGATAATGTCTTCTTTACGTTTTTATATTATTTCTTTTCACATTACTAAGACAAATTCATGAGAAGTTTGTATCTGTGGCTACTAGTGTATTATGATTGTGACTGTGACTCCCATTTGCCAACTTGAAGAGTATACAACTTTGTGAATATGTGATATCTAGGATTTAATCTCTTTTTTTTTCTTCATCTTTTAGACAAGGCAACACAATGTTTTTATCGCTCATGATATAAGCTTTGACGATTTGAGGAGAAGAGGGCATATTTGTTGTGTGTATTTCTTTTCCAGTTATTTTAGTGGATTAGTTGAAAAAACATGTTTTCATATATGGCAATATCAGTTTGGATCGGATAATAGGTAGAACACGTATATTCTTATTGCACAGGATCAAGACCCTGAGCATGCTAACTATGCCTTGGGAGATTTATTCTATTCTGAAGTGGCTGGCTGTGTCTTTTTCTGGGTAAAATTTCCTTAGTAATGTTTTAAAGTTACATAGCTATGTTATACAGATTAGTGTTGAAGTAGTTCCTGAGTATTCTACAGTTTTGGTATCTTACTACATTTGTCCACCGTACTTGGTTACCTGACCCACATCCGAACAGAATCTGAAGCTGCATTAACTAAAGCAAAGATGATCCAAAAATTAATATGCCTTATATTGATTAATTTATCATTATAAGCTAATTGACGATAAACTTGAATATGATCTGCCCCGAACATGCCTAAGCCCATCCGAAACTAAATTGAATAATTCATCAGCTGAATATTACTGATCAAATCAATCATAACAACTCGATTCTCACCTCTACCAGCAACAAGTGTCTTTTGTTGAGAGGTTGGTAATTACTTTATGAGGCATTTTTGTCCTAAATAGTTCAATATTCATGAATAATATAGTTTGCTCCTATGATACTGCCTTGTACTTGACAATACTCCAATGTAAATTAAATTTGGCCCATCTCTTGTGATACAATTATTTTTGTTCAGGGTGACATTGTCTGTTTGTTATACTTAAAATCTTAAGGAATGAGAATCAGTATTTTGGGGTTATTTATTTGCAGCATCAATAAAATGCTTGGAATTTGATTGATGCATGTATTTGTTGGCTTGCACTTTTATAAGGGAATGCTTTGATACGAGGGTTTGATTGCATAGATGGATCAAGTTGCTCTAGGCTTTGGGGTCTTTGTGTGATTGTTGTTATCATTTTGATGCAATTCGCATGATTTATCTCACTCTTTTAAATTTGGTTGGCTCACTTGGTTTTATTGTTTGCTCCAGGATTTCTTTGAAACTATTCTATATGTGCCAATGCGGCTTCTACATCTATAGCATTGCTGCCCTTCTTACATGGGAAACTCGAAGGAAGGATTTTGCAGTAATGATGTCTCATCATATAATCACTGTTCTTCTTATAAGCTGCTCATATATGACAAGGTATTGACTCAAATATTTTTCACTAATTTTGTTTAATGCTATATTATATTTAGATGTATCCTTTTTTGCAGATGTGATGGTTCAATCATAGCTTATTTGAGAAGCATAATATCTTTTTGGAGAATCATTTTAAAAAATGCAGTTCTGCACATCCTTGTTCTTATCTTTTTTGGAAAGATTCAGGAATGTGAAGTTACTTGGAAAAAAAAAAATCTGGAAAAAGAAGCTACTTGATCTCGTTGATTGTCTTTACCGTGAGGATAGTTTTGTTAAATATGCGTCCATGCTAGTGTCATTGTATTTTGCGTCTCAGTTTGGCCATTACAAGTCTCTCAAATTTTCTCTCGATCTATGTGTTTGTGTGTGTGTGTGTTTGTGAGAGAGAGAGAGAGAGAGAGAGATATTGTGTGTGTGTGTGTGGGGGGGGGGGAGGGGGTGGGGGGGTGGGTGTGTGGGACAGTAGGAGGGCTTTAAAAACAAAATAGTTGATTAGTGTGGTTACTAAATTTTTTGCATTGAGGATTGCGAATTGATCTCGAGTCATCTTCTGGTGTGTAGGAAGGGCTTTTAGGCACAACTGTGCTACTGAAAAGGATTTTGAGTGTGATTAAGTTTTAACTAGATATTAGGAATTGGCATTGATTATTTGAAGTGAAGATGTACTGATAGGTTGCTAATTCTGGTATTTCATGTGATTTATACTAGTCCTTAGAGATCCTCCCCCCCCCCCCCCCCCCCTTTTCAAGTTAGGTTTAGAGTATTTTGGCCTTCTCGTACCTGATTTTACCTAATTTTTTTTGGGGTGTGGATTGGTTTCCATGCCTTTTTTGGGATAAGTGATGGTTTATTCTTGAAGTTGCCTCTTATGCCTTTTCTTCCACAACGAAGTCTTGGAAGGCATTGGGAAGATAAAATATTGATTAGATTGTTTGCCTGAATTCTGGTGCTCAGGATTGAGGATGGTTTGGAATCATTTTTCTGGTATGCTGGAAGGATGATGGCATAAGTTTAATGGTGACTTTATGACAGTAACATTGTTTTTAAGGTTTAGGTTTGTTAGGAAATCAATGTTCCGTATTCCCTCTTTTGATCGACTATTTTTTGGCACTTTGTGATCAATATACCTATACTAAAGGCAAAACCAGAAATGACACTTGTCATAACCTGGTTAAAAATTTTCCCTCCAAAAGATGTTTTTTTATTTTATTTTATTTTTTTTCCCAAAGCTTCTTAGAGAAGTATTTAATTTAATACTTACTTTACAATACTATTTCTTTTCTATTTGGCAAGTATATTCATTTTTACACATTCAACAAAGATTTATTTATTTATTTATTTTATGACGGGAACAAAGGCATATAATACAATAATGTAATCTTATCTATAACTTTGTAATGTAATCCATAGTTATTTTCATTAGTCGTGCATGCATTTCTTCTTCCGTTTTCTTTAATGATTTAAAAAAATCGTAATTACAGAACTTTCATCCTATTTTGCAATTTGATATTATTTTTTACAGTAAAATAATTGTATTAAATTAATGATAAATATTGAAATTACCGTGCATGGCACGGGAACTAACCTAGTTTTATATAAAAACATATTACTAGGATAATCCTTTGGAAGAGGTTTGTTTATGTTTAAGCCACCTAGAGAACTAGGTCTTCCACTATGTCTTTTGCATCTGTGCTTTGCTTGTATCACATGATTGGGGCATCTCTTGGTATCAAGCCTATTCTTGGCACACATAATCTAGCTCTATTATGTCTTTTGGTGATAGCGTGGTTCACGATTATGTCAATTGAAGCTTTTTTCCCCCCAAGAGAGACGTATTATTGTTAAAGGATGGGTTTGTATATTTAGGTGGGGAGATATTTGGGTCTTCCGTAACCAAAGGCAGGCTCTGTGGTGTTACTAGTGCCTTGCTTGATACAAACTCTAAGAGCTTTCAGTTGATATTTGATCAGAAAGTATTTAATACTCTTCACTTCTAGTCTGTTTTTGTCTATATTGCACATGCCATTAATTTAATTGTACCTTTTCTCTCTTGGATTATCTCTTTTTATTGTTTGACTTCCTACAACTAGTAAGTTGCTTATGTTGCAATCTGAGGTGGACAATAGTGGATAAGAATGATGAAGTAAAATTGCAAGGGGCTTTGAAAAGGCGAGAGTATGCAAGAAAATCTTGTACCTGCCATGTGCTGTAGTGACTTGCCTTTTCTTATTTTTGTGGATAGGTAGTTTGGGGGTCTGATCATTGCTATAGAACTTGTATTTATTAACTTTTAAGGTTATTACCTAACAAAAGGAAGAAACGTGTTTGATTAAATGTTGATGTATACAAAAGGTTGTCTTAGCTCAAGCACTTGGGTTGGTAAGATATAATCTAGAATGAGGGGAAGATTATAGGGGAAAACTCAGAGGCTATCAGCTATTATCTTCAATATTATATGTTTCTTTTGAGCTATCATCCTATTCTTTTCTTGAAATCGATTAAATAATATCTCTGGGAAAATGCACATGGACTGGGAGTGGTTTCCACTGGGTATTATGTCATTACATAGACAGAAAAAGGAGCATCATTGTATAGTTATTTGTTGCATTAGATTTGTTGGTATAGCATTATATGCTTCAGTTACTGTAGGTTAGCTTGAGTAAAAAGGACATATTTGATATGCATACCTTAGATTGTGGTTAAAGAAATCTTAAAAGGATCTGATGATACTGCTTATACCAATAATGTGTACCTTCCTTGTTAGATGCCTATATCTTAAGATGCCCCACAACTAATTCTCAGTTTTACCATTTGAAAAACATGATACCTAGTTTTGGGAGGAGTTGATGGTAATGGGTCTTGGATCCGGGTCTTAGTTTTGGGATCAAATAAAGGATACTCAGTGTTTTCTTATGAAACACATGAACTCCAAGTCTCAAGGTGGTGCCACCAATGCTCCAGTTAGTACCTGTAGGAGTTTGTAGTTAAGTAATGTGTAGGGGGTAGAGAGATTCTGAGATTTTTTAACCTTGGTTCTTAGGGTATTAGGGTAAGTGAAGCTGATGGGCCTTGACCTTTAGGCTTGTACTCTTGTGGACCCTCAATAAAACAGGTCAATGACAGTAACTATGTGAGGGAGGTAATGAGACAATAAACACCCAAGCACTGATCTTGGAGTCATTTATATTGATTCTGTTGCCTGTCATTAGTCTCACCAGGAGTATATCTGATATTGTAACTTGTAAGAGTTGTAACTTACTACTTGTGCTCCCCATAGCCCAGAGGCCCAGAGATATATATTTTTCCTTCTTAATGCTGCAATTTAGTAACACACGGCATTTGCTGTTTATTATTAGGCCATTATGTTCACATGTCTCTATGAAGTGCTCAAGCTGCATCTCGAGTCTCTGATTCATGTCTTAGAATTACTTATTCAAGATGAGTATTGGTTACTGATATTGTTAGCTCAAGTTTTACCATTTAATATCCCGGTAAAAGAGAATTTAAATTCCATTTTGTGTCAATGTTTTATAGTACTTGGCTGCTTTCTATCCAAGCGGCATTGCTGAGTTTAATAGTTTCTTTTAAAGTCTTAGCTTTGTCTTGAGCTCTAGGCTCCTAATTCTGGCGTCCTTTTAGAAATTGTAATGTTCAAAGTTTATTAGAGGGTACCCAAGATATTAATTTCTGCTCTTAGGAAATTTGAGTGGTAAAAACCCATCTCCAATTATGATTCCTTGTCTATGGCAGAGTCCTGTTCAAAGGCAGGCGTTGTTTCTAGTTTGTCCTTACCATTGATTACTTAATTGTAATTATGGCATCTAAAGTAAACTGGTAGTCCATAAAACTGCTATATTTGGATGGAATCTGTCAACTTAGTGTTTGAAATAGTAGTATACCAACAATTTCCTGAATTTAGTAGATTTTTGTTTATTGTGCAGCTTTTTCAGGATTGGGTCAATTATCTTAGTTCTGCATGATGCAAGTGATGTTTTCATGGAAGCTGCTAAAATTTCCAAATATTCTGACAAAGAGCTTGCAGCAAGCGTGTTCTTTGGTTTATTCGCTCTGTCATGGCTTATGTTACGGCTAATATTCTTTCCTTTCTGGGCAATAAGAGCTACCAGGTCTGTTCCTTTGTCAATTTCCCTGATCTAAGTGTCTTGGTAAATATATTGTCATTTTGTTTACTCGTTGTCTGATCTTTTCAGCATTGATCTCTGTACGGTCTTGAACCTTTCAGAGCCCTTTGATAAAGTTCGGTACTATGGCTACAATACCATGTTGATTATGCTGCTTATTTTCCATGTGTACTGGTGGATACTCATATGTTCCATGATAATGCGGCAGCTGAAAAATAAAGGAAAAGTTGGGGAAGATATAAGATCTGGTAACCCTCTCTTTCTCCCCTATCCCTTGAACAATTTATATTATGGACCCCAGAGCTCAGTAAATTATGCTCTTGCTTATCAGTATGCTGTTAATTGGGAACAAAAGAACAATTAAAGTTGTAGTCTGAAATGATTACATTGTAGTAGCGATGGTCATTAGTGCTGACTGCAACTTTATGATTTCAATTTTTTTTAGTTCTTAGCAACATATTTTTCAGGTGTGACTTTACGTATTTTAATAGCTGTTCCACTTTCCATATGGATTGTAATTATATCAGTTGTTCCACTTTCCTTCTAGGGTAATCTTCTCCTCTATTAAAGACTTCTACGCTCTCATCTTTTGGTGGTCGTGACACTCTTTCCTTTTCTTTTCCTCGATTGCATAGATCCAACTATTTAACCCAGTTTACCTATAATTTACCTTCAACTAACATGCAGAAACTTTGTAGATTGATGAACAGAGGGAGTATTTTATAGGGAAGTCCCCAATAAGTAGTTTCAGATGTGTATTAGTATATTGAATTTTGTGTTTCTATTTATGGACATAATGTTTTCTAATACTACGTAAAATTCTTTCACTTGTATGTTGTATCATATTTTCTGGCATACCTTTTAAATCATTGGTAGGCTCTGTGTAACATGATCTCTTTTTCAACTGCAGATTCAGAGGATGATGAATAGGTGGAAAATTTTGGTTTTCAGTTAATTCAATTTAGATCTTGAAATTTCAGCATACAGAGCATTTGGAAAAATGTAGCACATCTCATATTGCTCTTGAATCGGCTCCCAGCTTGGATATGGTATGAGATGAAGTGCTTCCATTGGATTAAAATTTTTGCTGTATAAATAGCATGTTGTATGATTGTTATCTCAAGCGTCACATCCTTTACTCAGAATTAGAAACCATATATTGTAAAGTGCAGCGATTCATTTTCCATTATAACTGCCTCCGTACTCGGTAGCTGGTTAAGGTGCAGTTAGAGCTACATACTGTCAGATAGTACGTGATTAATGAAAAATTTGAATGTTTTCGTTTATGAAAACTCATTAATCCTGGACAAGTTTTGGCCTTTTTGTAGTTGGTACTACAATTATCAACAGTTCAACATCGAAGATATCATACTAATTGCTTGCTGGATTGGGATTTTCTCCTTCGTATCAACCTTATCCGTTCAGCTGGGGTTCTGGTTATGTGGCTTGACTTTTTAGCTATATACGAAGCATATTGATGTCACCTGGACTACAATATCTCTAATAAAACGCCAGCTTATATGGTTTGTATGTTTGAGCACATAATGCCAGAATGTATGGAACTTTCAATCCGGACCAACTGAATTTGACCACAGCAGATTTGGTTCAATAACGATCCTACGGGCATCCAAATTTGCTTATTTGAACCTTTCATGTCTAGTTTCTTCTTTATACTATGGGAAGCTGTACTGTACTCACTAGCTACTTAGCTAGTAGCTACTGAGTCGGATATTGATATCATCAGAGAGCTAGCAATGGAAGCGGTCGAGGGAGGAGAGATTTCTTCAGCAAGAACAGATGCTTTGAAACTTATGAATAGGTCAGCTTATCTTTATTAATGTTATCAAAGAAGACAACCAGCTTAATGGCTCCTTTACCTGCTGACAACTTCACGCAAACAACCCTTTTGTCTTCGACCCATTTGTCGAATTAAGCAAATGTAGAGCCTGATGAACTAGAAGAGTAGAAAATTTCACAATAATACGCCGATTAGATGATAGCGAATATTATTAACTGAGCAGTGTCACAACCCCAATCAAAACCTTATAACTTGAGCTGCTTATCAAATGTGCTGTACGTATTGTATCGTGTTGTGTTAACTTTGTATATTTGTATACAATGGGGTGAGCATGGAATGAGTATTCGTACCGTTAGTACTAACGATTTGAGTACTCACTAACCAATATCACTAAAAGTGATATCTATAAACCGAATCGATAAGTTCGGATATCTAGACTTTGGTTCCCCGGATTTTCGGATTGGTTATCAGGTACCCAATAAGATATCTAATAATGATAATTAAACTTAATAATGTAGTTATTATGGTATCATATAAGAGTAATTAACAACAATACCATTGGATAATAATATTACTAATCATTGATATTATAAAGTGATTATGAAATAAAGTAAGAGTTCAGATTTTTTTTTTAAAAAAAAAATTCAAGTATGAAAAAAAACAATAAAATGCTTATCGGATCGGAATGGGTAATCGTTAATTTTAAAATGATACCCAATAACGAATTATCGGAACGGGTACCCAAAATGTTATGATTATCGGATCGGGTACCCTAATTTTCGGAATAGTTGTGGATCGGACTTTTGGTTTTTCGGATAGTTTTGCTAACCCTACGTATTCATGACCCTTAGTAAACATACATGTCATTATGGTTCAATGTAGAAAATAAAAGTGAAAACAAAACTAAATCTAATTTTAATTGAATACTTATCCATTCGTCAACTTTATATAGAAGCAAGATCTAACACTTCTAATAACTAAGGGCCTGTTCACATTTACTGAAATGAGCTGAACTGAACTGAACTGATTGGAGCCGAACTAAACTGAACTGAGCTGAAATGAATATTTTTTGAGAGAAGGAAATTAGGAGCTGAACTGAACTGATTGGAGTTGAATTGAAAATAAGCTAAAGTGAACAAACCCTAAAGCTTCTTATCAACAGCTAACCGACACACCTAAAAAAAAAATTCATGCTAATAAACGAGATTTTTTTTTCCAACTCTTGGTTTCAAAGTCATTGATAGTTCTTTGGGATTGTTTATCTGCTTCCAGTATAGTTCAGATAAGGTGGGTGGTTCTCCAAATATAGTTGGTCAAACGGATTTTCAGGACTGGAAGTTTGACTCAAGGTTGTTAGATATCCCTTTCTCAGGACCCACATTTACTTGGACCAATGGACATCATAATGGTAATCCTACATTTGAACGTCTTGATAAGGCCTATGCTACAAATGATTGGCTTATTAAGTATCCTGATACTTCTATCTTGCATCAGCCGATTCTATTTTCGGATCATGCTGCAATTATTCTTCGGGAACACCGAGTTTTGGAGGGTCGCAAACCATATAGAGTAGACAACTGGTGTCTTCTCTCAAAGGAAGTAGCTTCTATTGTTTCTTTCTCTAGGAAGTTGGATATTTTGGGCGCCCCTATGTTTTCTATTTCTCGGAGATTGGAGGATTTACGTTCAAAATTACTTAGATGGTGTGTTACTCATAGGAAGCTTTGGGGCATCAATTGGAAAGAATTACATGATTCCATATCCCCATTAGCTCAGAATTTGGAATCCAAACTTCATAGACATCTTTTTCTTTCGTTAAGAGAAGAAAAAGTCAGACATTCTCAGGCAGCCTACCTTTACTGGAAGCAGCGGGCTAAGGTTAAATGGGATGTGTTAGGTGACTCTCACTCACATCTTCTTTTTTCTTATGTTCAGAACCGCCGTCGAAAGAATACAATTCAAGGTTTACAGACCTCTTCAGGAGATTGGACTCATGATCAGGATCAGATTCGTTCTATTGTCTTTGATTATTTCTCCTCAATTTATAGAAGTAATCAACCTCTTCAACAAATTCCTGAGTTTGATTGGTCCACCTTGAATTTACCCTATTTATCGGAGGTTCAAAAGTCTAATCTTATGGTTCCTTTTTCTGCCTCGGAAATTAAAGCGGCTATGTTTAGTATAGATGACGCTAAGTCTCCTAGACCAGATGGGTTTACGTCTGCTTTTTTTAAGTCTCATTGGTCTGTTGTTGGATCCTCAGTTATTGAAGCTATTCAGTATTTCTTTTTGCATGGTCACTTGCTTAAGGAATGGAATCGTACTTTCATTGTCCTCATTCCGAAGGTAGATCATCCTCAAAAACCTTCACAATTTAGACCTATTGGGTTATGCAATGTTCTCAATAAATGTATTACCAAGTGTTTGCTGCTCGACTTCGGATGATTCTTCCTTCTCTCATTTCAGACTGTTAGACCGCTTTTGTTCCGGGTCGTCTCATGTCGGATAATGGTTTACTTGCCCATGAAATTCTCACTTATATGAATCACTTGCGGGGTCGTACTATGTCAGTTGCTCTCAAGCTTGATATGAATAAAGCTTATGATAGAGTTAATTGGCAATTTTTACGACAAGTTCTTCAGAAGTTTGGTTTTCCCCCGTATTAGATACATATTATTCAACAGTGCGTTTCGACAGTCTCTTATCAGTTACTTGTTAATGGAAATCCGATTAAGGTTTTTAGACTCTCGTGTGGTCTTCGCCAAGGAGATCCTCTGTCATCATACTTGTTTGTTCTTTGTATGGAAATCTTTTCAGCTATGATTAATCAAGCGGAGAGCACCGGTCTTTTTAAAGGAGTTAAAGTATCTCGTTATGCTCCTTCAATATCACATCTGTTTTTTGCAGATGACTCTCTTCTTTTTTTCCAGCCCTCTCCTCAGGCCTGTTCCAATGTTCTTGGAGTTGTTCAGCAGTTCTATGATATTTCAGGTCAGATGTTAAATTTACAAAAATCCTTTGTTCGTTTTAGCCCTAATGTTCCAGAGAACTATCGGGAGTCTTTAGCCAATTCCTTACAGCTAAAGAGTCTTCCTTCACTTGGTACCTATTTGGGACTTCCGATGGATATGGGTAGAAGTAAACGCACAGCTTATCAACCTCTTGTGGACAAGATTACTTCTCGGTTGATGAGTTTTGCTTCCTTGCATCTCTCACCTGCGGCCAAATTAGTTGTGATCAACTCGGTGTTGATTGCTTCTCTTAACCATATCTTATCTGTTTTTAAGATTCCTTCTTCGATCTCTGACAGAATTAACAATCTATTCGTCAGATTTTGGTGGAAAACAGGGAATCACTCCAAGAGTTTGGCTTTAACTCCACCTTCTGTCTTGTTTACCCCAAAGGGTTTGGGTGGTCTAGGTATTCGGCATTTGGGTTTATTTAATTCTGCTTTTCTTGCTCGTCAATCTTGGCGTATTAGGCAGAATTCGCAACTTCTGATTTCTCGGGTTTTTCAGGCCAAGTATCCTTCCCTTATGTGTTTCCGGTCACAAGGTCGTCTTTCTAATCCATCCTGGGGTTGTCGAAGTGTTCTTCATGGAATACAGACCTTAAAGATTGGTCTTGCTTGGAAAATTGACAATGGTTCTAAGGTTCATATTCTTCAGGACTCTTGGGTGCCTGGTTCTCCAGTTTACTTTAAGAATTCTCTAGCTGGATCGGTTCAGCCGACTCTGGTGTCTTCTCTTTTGGATCCTATTTCAAATGATTGGGATCCTACTTTAATTCATGCTTTGTTTTCGTCCACTATTGCCTCCAAGATTCTGAGTCTCGAGCGTCCTCCTCAGCTAATGGATGATTATGTTTATTGGAAATACTCGAGAGACGACAGATTTTCTTCTAAATCGGCTTATGCAAAGCTGATCGCTTTGTCGAATCAGCTTCCTGAAGGTTCTTCTTCAATTCCTCCTATTCCTTGGAGTAAAATTTGGGCTCTTCCTATTTTATCCAAATGGAAGCTCTTTATTTGGAAAATTTTTCACAATGCTCTTCCTGTTGCGGATACTTTGAGAACTAAGGGTTGTCCTGTAGATCCTGTTTGTTCTTTTTGTTTTCAAGCTTCTGAGACTACCGAGCATTTATTCCTTCGATGTTCGTTTATCAGGAGATTATGGCATTGTGGTCCTCTAGGTATTCGGCTTCCATGTTTTAACAGCTCCTTCCATCAGTGGTTTAGCTCTTTACTCCTCTCTGTCATATCTATAAAGAATTGGGATGGTCTGGATTCTATATTATCTTTTGCTTGGGCCATTTGGATTCATCATAATCACATTCGGTTTCGACAAGCCACCTGCTCTCTGCCCATGATTTTCCAGATTGCTCAGGAATGGACTACTCGGAGTCAGGCAGCTAGGAGTTCATCTTCCTTTGATTACTCCATTCCCCCTGGTTTTGGCTCCCTGAATCACTCCTCCTTTCTTGCGGGGAATCCTAATATTTCTCCTACTGTTATTCTTATAGTGGATGGAGCCTGGGATTCTTCGGATTGTCAAGCTGGCACGGGTTGGTGTTTTTATTCGATAGATACATCCAGCAGTTTGGGTGGTGCGGCTCGTGCGTGTTTTTCTCTTTCAGCTTTCCAGACGGAACTTCAAGCCTGTTTTTTTGGTCTTAAGATGGCTCTCCACCGTGGGTATTCTCATATCCTTCTTCGCACTGACTGTTTATTATTGGTTTCTATCCTTCACAGGTCGTCGCAGGATATGACTACTATTTGGATTCAGCAGCAGCTCCGAGATATCCTTTCTTTGTTTGAAGTTTGTTTTGTTTAGAAGGTTCCTAGAAGTGCGGTTCTTCCTGCTCACCAGTTAGCTACTTTATCTAGGAAGCGTCAGTTAATTAGCTATTTATTTTAAGTTTTTTGAGTTGACCTTTGTCAAAAAAAAAAATATAAAAAGGTGGACAACGTCTTGTGATGAAGAAATTCACAAAATGGTTTTATTTACTACAATTTTTTTTTAAAATTAGTATTATAATAAATATATGTATCAAAACTTATGTGTCCTCGTTATATTTGGAGGATTGTATTGACTAGTGTGAAAAAATGCGTTAATATGGTGTAAGAAGTTGAGTACACCATTGATGAATTGAAGTAACTTAATTAAATAAATAACTATCTTTATATGCGTATTAGCTAGTCTATAGTAACACAAACTATAAGTGTCATGTGTCCCCCTTCCTTTTTTCAATGAGAAAAAATAGCCTTTTTTTTTATAATTTTTTTATTTATTTTTTGTGAGAAAATCCACAATGTGGAGAATTAATTAGATAAATTAAGCATAGCTACATCGAGGATACGAGTCAGAAAACTATCTAACCACACACGTTGGCCAAACTCCCATGGCTGTAAGCGAGCCAACTCGTGCGCCACTCTATTCTCTCCTCTCTTAACAAACAATCAAGAAACATTACTAAAATTATTACAAAGATGATAGATATCCTCAAGCATTAGGTGAAAACTCATTGGAACCTTGCTCTTCCTGCTTCAAAGCATGTATGAACTGAAGAGAATCTCCCTCCACCACTACATTTCGAGCTCCCAACTGTGTAGCAACCCGCAAACCCCCCACGCAACTGCCTTCACCTTAGCCACCTTCACCTCCCACTTCTCTCTACTCTTAGAAACACCAGCTGCCCTCACAGTCCCACCCTCGTCCCTCACCACTGCCCCAAACCACATCCTAGCTCTCCACAAAATCTGCATCAACATTAATCTTCAAAACCCCCTCACCTGGTGGAACCTAAACAGAAGGCAACCCACTATCTCCATCCCTCCTCCCACACACCTTGATCCCCTTCTCTCCCGCCTCCAAAACATCGTCACCTATTTTTCGCGCATATCGCTCTACGTCTGTACGTCACCGGGCTCCTTGGCAACTCCCTCCACCACCATCGAGTTCTTAGCACTCCAAATTGCCCAACACAATGTATTTATGTTAGCAACATAATTTTCGCCCAGTTCCAAGAAACACGATTCCCACCAATCTTAAATATGCCACTCCGCCATCTCTCCCACAAAACAATACTCACTCAAATCCCAAATCGCCATTTCCAATTTACAATCTTTTAGTGCATGAACCATTGACTCAAAACCTCCGCCACAAATTTCACATTCAGGGTCATAATCACGAATTCAGGATTGAATTCCACACCGAGTAGGGCGAGTGTTTTGGCAGGCCCTCCATGCAAAAACCTTTACTTTTGGGAGCGCCTGAAGCTGCCATATCTTCTTCCAAATAGAGCAAACAATCGTAAGAGCCTCTTCTTCCCTTTTCCACTCATCATGAAAAAGAGCACGATAAGTTGATCTGACAATATAATTCCCCTTTTTATTAAGATCCCAGCACAATGTATCATAGGGTAATCACTTGCTTATTGGGATACTAAGGACTATCTCAACTTCAAAAGAGAGAAAAGTCCAAGTAACAAGCTCATTATTCCAGCAGCAAGAACTTGAATCAATAAGGTTGTTGATCTTCATATCTGCAATGGAGTTACCCCGTGGGGAAATCACTCTGAGGGATTGCGTACCTGACAGCCACTAATCAGTCCACACACTGTTATTCTCCCCATTTCTGACCCTCCATCTCATTCCTCTTTTCACAACCCAACGAGCCTCCGCTATGCCTCGCCACATGTAACTTGGATTGGTGCCCACACTAGCATCCATGAAAGAAGAATCGGGGTAATACTTCCCTTTTGATACTTGCTCAAGAAGAGAACCTGACCTCAACATTAACCTCCACGCTTGCTTAGCAAGTAATGCCTAATTAAACAACTTAGGATCTCGAAATCCCAAACCACCCTCATTTTTCGATTTGCACAACTTTTTCCACGAAAGTCAATGAATCTATATCTATATCTATACTTAGTATTTAAAAACACAAACCACATATTACTCATATGCCACATGTTACCACAAATCACTCATATGCCACATGCCACCTTCTTTATCAAAAAATAAAGTTCATGTCTTTATGCATTCTGTAACTTGCAATTTAAGTAAGGAAATTAAGTGTTTCAACTACACCAAAATAAAGTCGTAGTCTTTTCATCTCCTACACTTACAATAAAGTAATAGTAAAAAAAAAAAGTTGAGCTAATCAGTTCACGTTATATATATATATATATATATATATATATATATATATATATATATATATATATATATAAAGTACAATAAAACAATGCTGACTCATGTAACACAAATAAGCAACACATTACAAAGAAAATATTCTACGTAATAACCCGTGCATGGAACGGGCCAGAAGGCTAATTATTCTTAAGTCACTATACATATTTAATTTTTAATGAATTGATTCATTCCTTATAAACTCTTCATTTTTCACAAGAGAAAAACATATTTAAAAAAAACACACACACATAGATACATATTTGTTTTGATTTCCTAATAATATTAGCAGCCCATGCATTGTGTGAGGTCAAAATGCTAGTTATTATAAAACACATCAATATTGGCGTGTCATTTCAATCTATCAATGATTCTTATCCTTAGGCTTAAATTTATTCCATTGAATCATTCTTTTATACATCAATTATCCAAATTGACAATCATACGACCAAAACATGACCCGATCCTAAATTTACAAGCCGTAAACTCGCTCCAAACTCCACTCAACACAAATTGAACCCGAAATTAAAACCAATCCGAATTTGAATTGAACCAAACTCAACCCTACACTCAAAATGATAATCGACCCGACCTAACTTGAAACTTAAACCAACCCGAGGTTAAACTTAATATGAAAGCTAGATTGACCTGACATGAAAATATGACCCAATATCTGACTTAACCTGGACTGAATTCGACCCATAAACATGTATTGATATCTCTACTCAACCCAAACCTCCACCTCCTCCAGGCCCTAGACCCTTTTGTTTTTGACTAAAACAAAGTAAAAATAAAAAAAAATAAATTAATAAAATAATTAAACATAACCGAAACAACAAGAATACAGGGAAGAAGAAGAAGAAGACAGAGAGAAAGCGAGACTTAAACTTAGGGATGTACGGCGGGTCCCATAAATTCGGCCGAGGCGGCGGCGGTCGCGGCGGCGCTTCCGCTTCCAAGCGCAACTCCTTCCCTCCACCACCTCCTCAACGCCCTTCCTCCGCCGCCCGACCTTCTCACTCCTCCCGCAAACCGCCGCCTCCGTCATCGTCGTCGGCGTCTCCTGCTCCGGCGACGACGGCGCCGCCTCAATCTGAGGAATCCTTCACCCTTGTTCCCGGCAATCCTCCCTCCTTCGCCGCAACCATTCGTCTTGCTCCTGACCTCGTTGATGAGATCAAGCGTGTTGAGTCTCAAGGTGGTGCTGCTCGGATTAAATTTGATTCTAACCTTAGTAATCCTCTTGGCAATGTGAGTAATTTTGGTTTTTTTGTTGTTGATTGTTTCAAGTTATTGTTGTTTTTTTATGTTTGGTTGGATTTGGATTAATTTGAATTTTGGTTGTTTTTGGGTTGGAATGTTTATGATTTTAGTTTGTGTATTCGGAAATTTTGTCGTGTTCGTAGTGTGATTTGAACTAGTAATGTTAGTAGAAGTGTGGAAAACTAAGCAGAAACTATGATTCCAAAGGGAAGCTATGTAAAAATTTAATTGGGAATATGTGAAAACCGTTTAGTTACTTATGGTCTGTTAGTCCAATTGATTGTTAGTGAAGTGGTGATTGGGGCCGCACTTGGTAGGGAGAACCGCGTGTTTGATCTCCCACAACAACAATTGGGAGGGGACTGGAACCTACTGACCACCCAAGAACGAGCCTTGAATCTGGATTAGCCCAAAGGGTGAACCAGGTGGAAACACCAAAACACATGCTTCCTTCATTCAAATGAAAATTCCGTTAGTTTTCTCAGTATGGAAAAAACTATTGAATAAGGAAGAATATTAATCAAATGAAAATTCTAGTTACATTTGCAATTTTCCTTTTCTAACTATTAGAAAAATATGTTGCTTACTTTACTTATGACATTATACAATCAAATATAGTCGCGTCCATGAGCATGAGCCTTGTTGGTTTGGGTAGAAAATGCACTTATAGAAGAATTTCAGGGAGGCTGAAGATGACTTGGATGGAGTTGAATGATCGAAGATTTGGGTTTTTGGGTTTGCAGGAGCATATAAAACTTGATAAAAGTGAATGAAGGAAGCTGATCATTGTGACTTGATCAATGATTGTTGGAGATAAATTCTTTGATTTATACTTTTATAAAGGTGAATGAAGGAAGAATATTAATCAAATGATTGTTGGAATATCAAAGAATCAAACAGTTTTACTCATATTCCTAAATTTCCCAATGTCTTTTTATTATGGTTGATTAGAATGAAATGGAGCGGTAGGAAGAAAAGAGAAGGGATCAGAACAAGATTAAAAGAATAAGTGTTTTATTATTGTTTGGTCAAAACTGATAGGAATTTTCATTTTATCATTTATATCTCTATGCATAGTGTTTAGTATTTGGTGCTCATTGCTATGCCCTTCCCATGAAAATTATGCTAGTAGACAAGCTTAGATAAAGCTCTTGAAGAAGCTACTAGCAGCATGTATATTCAAATTGGTTACTTAATTGACTCTAGCCAAGTCTTTGGTCAGAAGTCTAAGGGATTCGGTGTGCTTCTATTTGAAGCAGATTTCTGAAAACAAAAATCCACTAAAACAAAGTTTTGTAGGGGTAATGCGTATTTGCGGTGCTTTCCTAGACGGGAATTTTTTTGTTGTTCAACCCCATATTATATCTTATATGGACCCTGATGATCTTAGTATTGTCACTGGCATGATTTTCCATGTCGGCTCTTTCTACTTGTCGTATAATTGTCATTATCATCTTTCAGGTTATTGATGTGGGTGGCAAAGAATATCGATTTATGTGGGCACATGAAATGGGTGGCCTTTGTGACATCTATGAAGAACGCCAGAGTGGTGAAGACGGTAATGGTTTACTTGTTGAATCTGGTTGTGTATGGCGCAAGGTGAATGTGCAGCGTGTCTTAGACGAGTCCACTAAGAAGCAGGTTAAGAAGAGATCAGAAGAATATGAGCAGAAACTCAAATCACGCAAGTATGTTGTACACTTGTACAGTGCACACACCCATAAAATTGTATATGCATATTTATATATATCTATACTCTTCTTTCATTAATCTTCGTTGCTGAGAAAATATTTCTGTATTAAATGTCTGTCCACCTATGTGCTGTCAATAATCTTCTTGTGCTACAGGATTTAATGTTTTACATCATTATGCATTTACAACATGATATTGTTTAGAAGGTATTATCAAGATGTTTTAAGGGTCTTCCTTAGTCTAATCGCTTTAAGAATCTTGCTGTCAAATGTGGAATTTAGTTCATGTATCTGACAATTATATAATTGCTGTTCAGGTGCTTGTCTCTTCTGCTTTTACTTGTTGTGGTGTATGATTAATGTTTAAATGTTGGTGGTCTTACATATTTTACTGAATACAGATTTATTTTCTCCATGTAGGCATTTCTTGTCACTTATACAATTTAGTTGCTGATTTAGTGGCTTTATGTTATTTGATTTGTTGAAAATCATCTTCCTAGATCCATTATTTAGCCATTTCTTGTGTTATGGAAGGGCAGCAGCAGTTCAGTTATGTGTTTGGGGAATATTGAGATAGATGGGGTATTGTTAGTCATGATGCATATTTTGAGGAAGGTATTTGGGTTGGGTGTACTTTTATATGTCATGATCCATGACAAGAAATTGAACTCTGTTATTCATTTATTGGCTTTAAAGAACAAAGAGATTATGCTTGCCGTGTTACTTCTCCCACTATTTTCTTACAGCTCACATGTTGATCTTGATAGGGCTATTGTCTTGGACCAATGCAATCCCCCTATGAAGAGTCAAATGCAAGCATTTGCTGCTGCAGAGGGTAAGCTCAGCTCTTTTAAATTATTATTCCCTCTGTGATTTAACATGTGATGGGTGTATCATATATTGTCTATTGTGCATGAGTATATTTCATTGCCACTAATTAATTAGAGATCAGAGCCATGAATCTGTTACTCCTTGTTGTGTTTTTTCTATTTCCTTTTGGGGTGGTGGAAAGAGGGTGGAGGATTATGGAAAATAGTCACTATCTGTGAGGAATCTTTCTGGCCGGTGTCTGGATTCCTTCTGCTTTCGTGCCCTTCCTCAGCTTGAAAAAAGCCACCGCACGTCCGCTTAAGCGCCCGCAACCCAAGAAGTTGGCAAAGCCAACACAACATTAGGGCCGTCCCCAAATTTTGAAAGTGTTTTTATTAGGAAAAACTTAGAGTAGTACCAATTTCCCAAATATTATCATTTTTCCCATTATAATCTTAACTTTGAGTTAATCTAGAATTATCTCAGCTATGGGTAATTGCTAATATTTCTGATCTCATTCTTTTGTAGTTAATCCAAGGAAGTTTAAACCCAAAAACAGGAGATTATCTGAGCCATCACAAGGTGAAGTTACCTCTATGTTGATTATATATATTCTTCCTCAGTCTTCTCTTTTTTGATGTTTGCTGTTTTCTTATGTTTTAGTTGGTGGACCTCCTAAACCTGTGAAGTCAACTACTGGATCCTCCTTAACTTTTTCTGCAAAGGGAAGGCATTCAACTTCACCTCTGCTATCACCTCATAACCAGCCTGTTTCTGTGGCATCTTCTTTTAATAGAGGAAATGCTACTGAAAGTCAAATTGTTGCAGAGAATTCAATACCTAACCAAGCTAGGGAACAGGAAAATGCTGTCAGCTCTGTGAATGATGCCCCTGCCCTAGTTTCTGGTAGGGTGCCTGAATCAGTAGTGCACAAAGAGAATCAAGGAGCTGGAATATTGGATCTACAGAACTACCTAGTAACATTGCTGAGAGAGAATCCAAAGGGGATGAGCATAAAGGTAGAAAAAAGTTGGATCCCCCCCCCCCTCTTGAAGGTTTTACAGTCTTACCGCCTGATTTTTTTTTGGGTCAAGCAATCCGAATTTTTTCTTGTACATTGGCTACAACTAGAATTCTTAGACTTGTGTATCTTTGATGATTTCCAGGCATTGGAGAAAGCTGTTGGAGATACAACTTCCATCTCTGTTCGCAAAATTGAGCCCATTCTTAAGAAAGTGAGTGTAAAACATATCTATTTTTTGTCAGTAATAGTTCTTATGTGTAGTGTAATGTTTTCTGATGAGATCTGCTGCCTTAGATTGCAACTTATGAACCTCCTGGAAGATATGTTTTGAAGTCGGCTGTGGAGCAGGAAAGCTTGAAGAAGTCGTATTTTGATAATGGAAGGTAACCCCTGTTCTTATGTTCCTGAAAGTAATTTGTTCTTCTAATGTTATCAATCAGCTGTAGTCTGTAGAGCTAGTTTGAGAATGTTGAAGCCAATAAAATTTGATATAGTGGAAAATTTTCCTTTTCCAGTCAACAAAATGTAATTTGTTCGTTCAGTGTTCTGCTGGCGTTTCACGAGTAAAGATGTTGTTGCTATCTTTTGAGTATCTAATATTCGCATACGATTGTTTGCTGTCTAGATATATTTCAAATTTCTCTTTCAGATAATTTTCATTGTAACTTTTCAGAAGATGAAATTGGTTTTATAGATTAATTGCCGTAATTGGAAATGGCCATGACCAATTATCTTGTTATGCATACTATATCGGTAAACTTCCTTTAATTGCAACATATATTGCAACAATTACCATTTTAGGAAGTTTCACATCTATTGCAAAATTACCATATATGTACATGCTTTCTCTCTACCTCTATCCTCCCCACATGGGTCCCTATCTTTATTCCTTTCTATCTCTCTCCTTGTCTTAAATTCCCGTGTCTTCCCCCCTTGTTGCAATATTAGGGGAACGGAAGTATTATATTAAATTACCGCAGAGTTCAGCTGCATAACCTTTATTTAGGTGATCATCATTCACTTTCTGATGTTGTTGCATTTCAGTTCTCCTGAAGACAATAATCAGAAGTTTGTTCCAGAAGATAACCTTGTTGAAGTACCAGCTCCAGGCTTAAGATTTGCAGAGAAGTCACCAGCTATGGATGTGGAGGAACAGGTGCAAACTTTTGATGAAGAGTCAAATATGGTTGAAAAAATTGATGCATCACAACACTTTTCCGATTTATTTGGTGATGATGAACCCCCTGTAAACAATGAAGGTCAAACTGTGAGATCTAATGACAGTAAAAGTGACAGTGATAGTGATAGTGGAAGTAGTGACAGTGGCAGTGATAGTGCAAGCCGAAGTAGAAGCCCTGCAGGTAGTGGGAGTGCTAGTAGCAGTGATAGTGAAGGTGATGATTCTTCTTCAGCATCTGATGTGGATGTTGATATAATAAGTGATGATGACAAAGAACCCAAGAATTTACAAGTTACTGAACATGTGCTATCTACAACAGGAGTTCCATGGGGTATGCCTAATGCTTTGCCCCAACAAGATGGAAGAAATATAGATCAAGATGGCTATGTATCTGAGGATGTTGACATTGGGTCGGATTTTCTTGATGATAATGAATCTCAGCTGGCAACAGTCCCTCAAAATCTTGGTATAACTACTGAGAAAATGATAGCTTCTGATCATGATCAAACTCAACCATGTAAGAGGGCCGATGTGGTTACTGAGCAAGATGTTATAGATGATATCCAACCTGAGAATCATGACTTTGTTAAGTCTGGGGGTAAATCTAAAAGAGGATCCAGTGACATTCAGTTTGAGCATGATGGTGATCATGTCAAAAGATTTAAAACAAATCCGACACAGCCTACAGTTTCTGGGCATATTGAATCACATACCTTGGGGAGTTCGCCAAATCACTCCGCTGGCTTAATGAGTGAAGACATTCATGAGACCCATAACGTGCAAAAGTCAAATCAGTTCAGCAGGGATGAGGGTGCTAACACACATCTAGGTGTGCAGAGTGGGTATAACTATGTTATTCCTGGAAAATCTGCTGTAGAGTCATTACATTCTGGTCGAGGGCCTGCTGGACGTTTGGGGGTAGATTCAAAACTACAGAGGACAAATGAATATACACAACTAACACAAGAATGTTTTTCAAAATACGACAAGGGTTACCGAGAGGTACAGTATGAGGAAGATAGTTCAAATGAGAAAGCAAATGGTAAGTTTAAAGAAAATCCTCTTGCTCAGAAGAGCTCAGTATGCCCGGAGCCCCACCACAGAAAGCATAGTGAATGGGATAATAAGGCACAATCATTAGGAACTTCTTCGAGGTTACACACGGGATTCTCTCTGAAGGAAAATGGTAAGGCTGAGTTTGACAGGTCTCCTGGTGGCAAAAGATTGCTCCAAAGAGAACTATCAGACCTGGAGTTGGGTGAACTTCGTGATTCCTTGCCAGAGGAATCAGAAGGGAGTAAACGGCAGTTTGATAGAGTAAGCTCCTTCAAGAAGTCCGAGATGAAATCAGGTACCTCAGGTTCTCAGAATCCAGATTTGAGAAGCAAATCTATAGGCAAGCCAGTCATAGAGTCCGGTAACACCTCCTTCCCAAATGCAAGAGGAGCTCCAAATAATTCTGACAGTTTGTCAAAGATAAAATCTCCAGAACCTTATGTTGAAGATGGTTCCCGTCCTCATGGGGATTTGCAATCTCAGCTACAACAATCAAGGAGTGGTCATGCTGAAGTTGGGCCTGTTTCCAACAAAGCCGTGGATCATAGCAGATTGGGGCATGGTGCGGATGTTGCTAATCAAGAAACAGAAGATGTAGGTTATGGAGAAACACACAAAAAATCTCACGTTCATTCACAACGTGAAGACTCCCGACAAGAAATGGGTTCACGCAAGGGGAAAGGAAATAAGTCAAGAAAATCTAACACAATAAGATCTGCAAGTGATTTGACCAAAAAGAAAAAAGATGCTAGTGATCTGACCAAAAAGAAAAAAGATGCTAGCGACAGAAAAAGAGACGTGTCAAATACTCAAGGTGGTATTAATAAGCGCAAAAGGAGTGAGTCCTTTTCAGATGATTCATTCTCTAAGTATGAAAAGGATGAGCCAGAGCTAAAGGAGCCGGTTAAAAACTTCTTACAGTAAGTAGTTTTCAAGCTTCTTACTTGTTTTCATGAATGGTGTGGTTATTTCTGAAAGCTTTATGGTGCCTGTACGTTTAGTTGTAATAATAGTTATAGGTAAACTGTTAATGCCTAGAATATCTCTTTATTGATGCCCCTTCAATCTGTGTCCATAGGTATAATGAATATGTGCAAGAGTATTGTGAGAAGTATGAACCTTACTCTTCCCTGATCAAAATCTTGGAGAGATACAGGTATGATATTTTGCTGTGATTATTTCCTCCTCTCAGGCCCCTAGTCTCCCTGTAAAGTGAGTTATATGTCATCAAATTATTTTCATGTTTATAAAGGTCTCTGTTTTCATTTGGCTCTTTATTTTGAAGGATTGATTTTCAGAAGTTGGGGATGGAACTTGAACGTGCAAAAGGTACTGAAAGATATGACGAAATTTTGGCACAAATAAGAGAAAGCTATCGCCGGTGTGAAATGGTATGCTTATGTGTGTGTTGGCCTGGCCTAGTCGGTTGAATTCTTCCTCTGCTTGAAAAGTTTCTGATATATGACAAAAAAAAAAAAATGCTGATAGAAATTTAACTGATTAAAATACTGTGACAATTGCAAAACCACAATAAACTGCCTCAATTTTTGGTTTTCAAGCCTTCATGTTTGTGTTTCAACAAGTTCATTAGGTCAGTGTATTTGTATAAAGGAGCGGTTAACTATCAAGCCTTCATGTTTTTGTTCCTATAAGGGTTGTATATTTCATGTGATAGTTATCTACCTATAATCAGTTAATAGACGTGGAGCCATAGTAATGCTGTTGCAGCACAAGCTCAACCCTTTTATGACCTTGTCCTACACTCCTACCATTATCAAGACTGTCTTGATGTTTGGTAGTATTTTTTATTTTATTATTATTTTTTTAATATGTAAATATTGCTACATACAACTGTACAAGCTTCTGATTAAATCTTCAATTGGTTGTTACTCTGCAGCGTTATAAACGACTGAAGAAAATATTTCTTGTGCTTCATGATGAAATGAAGGTAATTATTTCTCATTTTCCCCCTTCCCTTCTTATTCATGATGAGCTTTGTGCATTAACTTCTATATGTACTATTTTGTCATTGCAGCATCTTCGGCAGATGATTGAGGACTTTTATTTAGACTACAATAAGGGTAGAGTTTGACTACTAAGATCATTTATCAAGTTTCCATGTTCAGACCCGGAAAGCTTCATAAATTAAGGTCGTGAATTTATAAGGTCTGTTGCCTTAATTGTGCAGCCTGTAATTTTTAGTAGATTAATTTCATGAACATAATAGCAATGTTGTTGGGGCACCGGAGCCTTAGAACTGGGGTACATGATTGGGGATGACCTGAGCTGTTCAATTGTGGGTTTTGCGTCATTGTGTGAGAGGAGAGGAAGCTTGTAAGGATTAAAGCTGTAAATGTAGAATATATGTAATAGGATGAACAAAAATTACTGATTTTTTGGAGAGAAGCTCTCATTTTGCCCCCATTTTTTGTTCTTAATGGAAATAAGTATAGCCCTTTTAGTTAGATAATTATACTTGTATTTTGGAGTTCAATTACTGCATCATTTTTGCATTTCTCTATAGTTACCTTTTCTTTTGTTTTTTTTTTTTGTTTTTTTTTTTTTGAAACCAGTGGCCGAGAAATGTATTAAAGTAAGTCAATTTCCGCCAAAAATAAGAGATTTTAGGGAAAGCCTTTTTTATTTTATTTTTTATATTTATAGTGCAACAAGTTAGTTGACATGTTTGTCAATGCACAGCACAACTCATATTCACTACATTAGCTAATATTTTCAATGAGTCAGATCGGGGTAAAGATGCTACATAATGTCTATCCATGGATGTTAACATCATTGAGAGGAAGCAGAAATCATTTCTTTTGATCATCAACTTCCTGATCAACCACCGGAAAAAGATTTGAAATATATCATCACAACCACTACCATCATCCCTCAGTCAATCTTCTCGACCTCCGCGAAAAGGCTCCATGTTCAACCACCATTAATTCCGTCATGAAAACCTTAAAATCATAGACGAGGAGGAAAGAAGAACAAACCACATCACCACCATGTTTACAACCTTATTCTAACGACTTTGCTGCCGAATTTAAAGAGAACATTATTTTGCAAATAATATATAGTAAGAGATTGGGAAGCTGGTCTAAAGTTGTTTATGCGAGTTCTAGTCTTTTTAGTGAAGTTATTGTTGGTAGGATGAATAGTTAGGTTACTAATAAAAGTTCTCATGAGTCTCACAGATCCAAGTAACGTCGTTTGTCATTGATTCATTGTGGCATGTACTCCAACTCAGTTAGACCAATTTACATATATATCCCCAATTAAGTCATGTCATTGTTGGTTTCTGTTGAAACACCAATTTATAAGTTGATTATCCTTGGGGATTCCACCGAATGACAGTAAAGAGTCATCACCAACTCAAACTCGGCGGTGACCTCTTCAACGACGGCATAGTCTTCGGCGGTGTTGAAATCGGAGGGTTCAAAATGCTTTGAAGAAATTTAGCCTTGTGTGTCCTTTATTTGATTGGACATTCTTTCGGTAGATTTTCTAGTTTTTTAGATTTAGGTTACTTTTTTTTTTTTTTTTTTTTTTTTGGAATAAGGGTTTCTTGAATTAGATGTTGGGGGTAACGTGGAGTGATTTGACATGAACTCGAATGAATTATACCTGAATTTAATACGACCTAAAACCGATAAGATGCATGACCCAATCCTAATCTGACTGACATAAATGAGTCCATCAACCTGGCATGACCCGACCTGAATCTGACCTGACCTACATTGACCCGACCCAAACCCAAATTAACAACTCTCTACTAATAGTCAGTTTTGCTGCTTTAAATTTTTTTGATGCAATTAGAGAAACTTTCTTAGGGTTTATCGATCCCAAGGGAACAAGTATTAGATCTTCAAACAATGAGCCATTGATTGTATATATGCATGAGGCTCGAATGGTTGTTAAAATGCATGTAGCTTTGACTATTTTGAAAAAATAAATAAATAAAAAAATTAAAATAATGAAGGTTGTCGTCGAAAGCTATTAAGTTTTAAGGCTATTATATAAATTTATGCTATGTTTGGATAACAAATTAGAAGGGAAATGGAAGGGAGGGAAATAGGAGGAAGGGGAAGGAAGGGAAAGTGGAGGAAATGATGAGCTCCATTTTCCCTCCAAATCTCTCCAATTTTGAAGGGATGGTCTTTACTAAAGGAGAAGGGAAAATGGATCCCTCCCTCCCTCTCCCCTTCCCTCCCCCAACATGTTATCCAAACAAAGAAGTTTGTCTCCCTCCCTTTCCCTTCCCTTCCTTTCCTTCCATTTTTTGTTATCCAAACATAGCCTTAGTGGTGTTTGAGGTAAACAAGTCTAACTTAGCTTGATGTGACTTGTGAGTGTGTCAAATCTATGTCTTTATATTTTGTCCAATGCAACTTAAAAGGTTGTGATATCTTTGGCAATCAGTTTATTGTGCTAGGGCCTGTCATGTATACACTATGTGATACATAACTAAAATTCAATATGGATTTTGGAGATGAACAAATATATCTACAACGCTACAAGTACATGACAAATACTACCTCCGTTAAATGTTTTCTGCAACTATGGAAGGGTTTGCGGTTCACGATACAAAATTTAAGGGGCAAAGATTAGAGAAAGTTAAGGGAATGATTAAATTTTTAAGGAGAGAGAATGTAGACCCCCCCCCCCCTCCACTTGCATTTTAGTGGGAAAATCTGTCAAGTAAGGAGGGAATTCCATTTCCTTCTAAATTTATCACCAAATATTTAAAAAGTTTGAAATTTTGGAAGTTTAAAGCTTCCCGCCTGTGTAAAAAAAAAGGGAAAAATACAGTTTAATAATCCCAACTATTGCTCATTTACCTAGAATAGTCCCATCTAACGTTTATTCTGTAATAATCTCAACTATTCATCCTATTTTCCTCCAGCAGTCCTAGTTGACTGGAAACCGGTTTTCCAAGTTAACCTTTTCCCAAATATTTTTTTTTATCTTTTTTTTCCATATGGATTGCTGAGTTGGACAAAAACTGTAGTTGACCTCCCTAATTTTTTCCTCAAATCATTTCCTACCCAAAGTAGACGCCACGTCATCACCCTCAACCACCTTCTGCAAAAAAATTAAATCCCGCCATTAACAGTCTCTCCTGCGAATTAACTTCTCCACCTAAATTTCAGTTTCCTAAATTGGAAAACATCTAGCGAAATTGAGTTTCCATTTAAAGGAAATACGGTGCGACGGTGGTGGGATAGCTTTCGCGACGCCATTGAAGAAGTGTAGTGAAGCTTTGTTCAGGTAAACCCTAGTTTTGCTAAATTTCGCAAAGATTGTTGATTTATGTGTTTAATTGATTCGATTTACTGAGATTATTGAGAATTATAATTAGTTTGTGGGTGTGTTATATTTGCATATGGTTAGATTTTCAGATTTTCTGGGTTTTGTTAATTTGTGAATTATAATCAATTTTAATTGAATTGTTGTTTGTTGTGGTTTACTGTATTCCTTATGTTAGGGTTTGTTGTTGATTATTTGTGTGGGTGTGTTAGTAATTGTGAATTATTGTTGTAGTTGTTAGGTTGAAATGTGTGAGTATATTTCTCTGAAGTTTTGGCATAGTGGGTACTTCAAGCATGTCAATAATGGTGAATTGGTTTATGAGGGGGGGGGGGAGAGGTAAATCTAAGCAAATTGACCCAGATTTGTTAAGTTTCTTTGACATACTGGAGTTAGCTAAGGAGTGTTGCAGTGAGGGGAAAACTGTTGTTGGTCTGTATTACTTGGTTCCTGGGCTAAGTATGAAAAATGGACTTAGGAAAGTGCATGATGATGCTGATGTAATGGAGGTTGCTAAGCTAGGTGTGAAGTATAGGTGTGTGGAGCTGTATGTAAAGCATAGAGATGAGTCACCAGAGCTTGAGCCAATTGAAGAACCACTAGTTGTAAGACACTTCCAACCACTGACACAAGCTTCTCAATCTTCTCCAAAACCATCCAAACTTTAAAAAAAAGAAAAAGACACCTAAAAGGGGCCCACCAACTGTGTTGACTCAAGTTAGGACAAGTCCAAGGACTAAAAAAGCACCTGCCCCACCATTAATTCCAAAAGGGCTGCCCAAAAAAGCATCTTCCAACTCCCTCAAAGAAACAACAGATGCCCCAACTTCCCCCAACCTTACCTATAATGCTTTTAATACTTTAGATCTAGGTTTTCTGAAACAAACTTCCCCTCCACAAACAACATCACCCAGAAATACAACCAGTCCACCACACACCTCTCAACCTGTTACTGATGATGAGTATGACTGGCTTGATGACAGGCCAGATAGTTCACTTAGGTTAGATTAGTTGTGTGAAGGTTACTTTAGTGGTGGAAGTGATGATGCAGACCCAACATATAATCCTCTGACAGATAAAGGCAAAGGTGTTTTAGCAGAGTGTAGTGACAAAGGGAAGGGGGCTGTAGAACCCTTTTTTGAAGGAGTATGCACTGAGGATGAGGAGGATGATGGATTTGATTTGGAGTTGGAAAATGAAAATGTCCTCACTGGTTTGGAAGGATTAGATGCAGAATTAGAGGATGAGTATAATGAGGCCATTTTGGATGAAAGGGACAATTTTGATTCTGATATAAGTGATGAGGAATACAGCCAAGATAGAGAGAGAGTTAAGAGCTGCACCACACAACTAGTACAGGCTGCAGCACAGTTGGCTAAAGAAGCAATTAAGGGAAAGAGCACTGTGGTGCATGAAGAGCAAGATAATGAGTCTGAGCATGAAAGTGAGTATGAAGATACTGAGGAGGAAGAGAACTCCCCACCTCCAACTGATGATGAAGGGAATGAGGGTTGCAGGACAAAGAGATCTGCTTTGCTAGTTAGCCCAGACACTGACTTTTCACATTTCACCTGGAGAGTTGGTTTGAGGTTTGTAAAAAGAGATGACTTTAGGGAGGCAGTTTCTAAGTATGCTGTATTTCAAGGGAAAAACTTAGTAATTACCAATAGCAACAAGAACAGGGGTCAAAGGATTGAAGCAAGGTGTATTAAGGGCTGTCCATTTAGAGTTTATGGTTCCTGACATACTGGAAAGGCAGCAATTTTGATAAAGAGAGTGTGCAATAAGCACACCTGTCAGAGGAACATGAAGAAAAACAGACAGTTGAAGGCCAAATGGGTTGCACAGCAATTCCTAGAGGTGTTTAAAACAAGACCTCACTAGCCAGCCAAAGAGATAGTGGAATGTATAAAGAGGGCATACAAGATGATAGTGAATAGGGTCTTTGCATACAAAGTCAAGTATGCAGCACACAAGCTTCTGCATGGATATATGCATGACCATTACCAAAAGGTGGGGGGATACTTAGCTGCTGTTCAGAAGAGCAGTCCTGGTAGCCACATTCAGTTAGTGACAGTTGAGTCAAAGTTGCCTACACCAGTATTCCAAAGGCTCTTTATGTGTTTTGAGGGTCTAGCAAAAGGGTGGAAAGAAGGGTGTAGGAAAGTTCTAGCAGTTGATGGTTGTTTTTTGAAGACCTTTCTAGGTGGTCAGCTCCTTTGTGCAGTTGGTAGGGATGCAAATGACCAGATGTACCCAGTGGCCTGGGCTGTTACAGAAGGAGAAAACAATTTGAGCTGGGAGTGGTTTTTCACACATATTCAGACCTTTCTTGACTTGGGTGAAGGAGATGAAGTTGCTATCATCTCAGATGAACACCAAGTAAGTCTATTACCTTAGTAGTGATATGTTTTGTTAAAAATCATATAAAGTCTTGCATTCTGACTTTTTGGTTTGTCTTTTTTTGTTAGGAAATACTCAATGCTGTGTCAAATGTCTTGCCCAAAGCTGAGCATAGACATTGTGCCAGACATATCTATGCTCACTGGAACAAGACATACAGAGGTGATGAATTCAAGCTGCAATTTTGGAAAATTGCAAAGTCTTACAGCATGGCAGATTATGATCAAGCACTGAGTGAACTTGCTGAAATAAGCACTGATGCAGCTGAGGCATTCAAGAAATATAACCCTCCTAGCTTCTGTAGAGCTTTCATGAAGACTTCAATGAAGACAGATGCCATAACCAGCAACATAGCAGAAACCTTCAACGGTTACATAATACTGGCAAGAACAAAGCATCTTCTCTATATGCTTGAAGAAATAAGAATTGGGCTAATGCAAATGCTTGTGAAGAAAAGGCAAGAAATGACTAAGTGCACAACTGCCTTATGCCCTAGAATTCAGAATAAGTTGAATAAGGAGAAAGACAAGGCTGCATATTGTAATGTGTATCCCTCTTCTGAGACTTTGTTCAATGTCTCTCACAACATGGACCAACTTGTCGTTAATTTGGAAGACAGAAGATGCAGTTGCAGGAAATGGGATATGCTTGGCATTCCCTACTGTCATGCATGTGCCTGCATCTTTTTCCTAAACCAAGAAGTAGAGGACTTTGTGGATCCATGCTATACAAGGGAGAACTATTTGAAGGCATATGCAGGTACAATTTCATATTGCTTTCATTCATCAAATGTTGATAGACATGCCACCTGTTATTTTTAACTAAAGTAGCTTGTGTGTCTTGTTTGATAGGATCTATTCCTCCTATAGAAGGAGAAAGATATTGGCCAAAAGTCTCTTGCCCTCTTGCACCACCTCCCATTAAGATAGGACCAGGGAGGTCAAGAAAAAACAGAATTAAGGACCCATTTGAGAACCCCAAAAAACCAGGTTCTTTATCCAAAAATGGAATTCAAATGTCCTGTTCTGTGTGCAAGTCAACTTCACACAACAAGAGGAAATGCCCTAACAAGCCATCTGTTGAGGAACCCAGTGAACCACCATAAAAAAAGCCTAGGGGTAGACCTAGAAAAGATGGGGAAACTCCTCAGGCCCAAGTCTCTGATGTAGTGAATGCACCAGCACACCATGACATTAGTGCCCAGCCCACACAGCTTGGAAGAGGTGGAAGGACTATTTTGAGAGGAAGAGGAGCAAGAGGTGGACAACAACCTCAGACAGGAAGATCCCTACCACCATCTTCTGCTTCAGGTGCAGGGATGTCTCAATCTGCAGGGCCATCAGATATAACACAGGTGGGAACTCAGGCATCTAGCACTGGCAGAGCTCAGGGAAGGGGTGCAGGAAGAGGTAGAAGAGGTGCAGGAAGAGGCCAAACAACTAGAGGAAAAGGAGCTCCTAGGGGTGTTGGAGTTCTTTTTGGTGATGATGGATCTGTCCTTACCAATGTAAGTTAACAGCACTGTAACTATATCATGGTTTTATGAGAGTGTTAAGTATAATTCATAATTAATGCAATCTTGTTTCAGGTTCGAGGAAAATCTTCAAGGGAGGTTGCAGGAACAACAACAACTATGAGGAGCAGGAAGGCTATGAGTCAGCAACCAACAAATTACATTGGTGGATTGAGCTCAAGCCAACAATCAAACCAGCCTCATCAAACTCAGTAGTTTTAGGAGTTGTTTGTATGAAACAATTAAGCCTAACTTATTTTGTGTTAAAAATTAGCTACTAATATTTTGGGGTAGTAGGAGTAGCTTGTATATTTGGCTACTTATTTTGGATTTTGAGAACTTATTATGACATACAACTTAAGTAAGGTATGAAGTATTAAATGACTTATGTTTTGAATCCAAATTTTATTTCATATTGCATAAATAGGCACAGGTTACAAGCAACAAAGTTCACGCCTACAACAACACTAATTTCCTTAATTCAAAGTCCAAAGACTAAGCTACTTACATAATTGTCACTAATCATTAATTTACTCTAAACAATACTACTTGAACATCAACACCAAAATGCCAAAGAACAACCATGAACAAAACAGAGCCATTGTCAAATTATATTCAGTCCTTGAAGACCTCATCAGCTCAATCCTTAGTTGGCTTACTTCAGCTTTCATTTCTAACAATTCATCCTCAAAATTTCCCTTCTTTCCTTGCAACCTCTTCACTTTGTCTTCCAACATACACTTCTACATCTCTAACTCAGCTATAGTTGTTTCCCTTTCAAAGATCTGAAACCGCAAGTCATCTCCATTGCCACAATCAACCCACTTCATGAAATTGCACTCTGTATCCTGTACAAATTTTACAAAAAGCCTAATTTCAATCAAATTGCAACTACTCACTTCAACATTACAACAAATAATTTACCCACAACAACAACAACAATTCAATAAATAAACAACCAATTAACTTGCAGGCCATTTAGGACAACCAAAGAACTTGCAACCAATATTAGGGCCCTTCTTCACCGTACGCACAACCGCCTTTAGCCCACAACTGCATCTAGTCGTGGCATACAACCCTCCCCTAGAGCTTGAAGATGATGCTGGGGACCCACCTAACTTATTCCTTCTTGCAGCCATTGATAATTCAAAAGAAGATTCAAAAAAAAATTAATCACACTACAAACAGGGGAGATGAGGAGAGAAGAGAGAAGAAGAAATAACGGGCAAAAAAAAAAAGTTAAGGCTGACTCACCTTATTAATAACAAGCTAACAACAAGAAATTTAAAAAAAAAGGAAAAACAAATGCCACAAAGGCTTTTAACCTGCACTAGCAGGTAAGTGACATGCTGGGACTGCTGGAGGAAATTAGGATGAATAGTTAGGATTATTACAGAATAAACGTTAGTTAGGACTATTCTAGGTAAATGAGAAATAGTTGGGATTATTAAACTGTATTTTTCCAAAAAAAAAAAAAGCCATCCTTTTTCTCACTTGTTTGCAACAAGTGACTTCCTTCATTTACGAGGCTTATAAATCTCGCCTCTTTTTACTACAAGGATTCAATGTTTAATTCAAAAGTACAAGCCATGAAAACATTCAAATGTTAACAAAGTTTTCCAAAAGTTAGCACTAACGCTACATAATTACCCCATCAGTACCCAAAAAATTAGCCTAACTACAATTAGTGCTGCACAAAAACAGACGCTTCACGGCTTGAGACCTCAATCATCCTAACAAACCCACAGGGGAGCTTAATCACTACAAAAATAAGCTACCTGCCACCCCTGTGTCATCAACCCTGAGCTGAAAAAAAGAAGGTAAGCACAACACATGGCAGAAAACTTGGAGGATTATGGGTTGTATGAACATGAGTCTGATTGCAATAAAAAGAACAAATTTTGATTGCAATGAAAAAGAACAAATATCCATCAGAAGGTCATAAAATTTTGTTGAATACTACACTCCAAAACATTGTTACCTCAACAACAATCTCATACAACAAAATGTGGGAGCAAAACTCATGTTTCAAGTGAAATTCAATGGAGTCCCCTTCATCATATGGACCAATAATCCTACACATGCACAGTTCTGTAAACAAGAAGTGGGACCCCACAACTTCATTGTTACACATAACACAAAAGAGGGACTCGTTAATGAACAGATATGTAAAGTTACACATACTCATAAGGGCAGCCATAGTTCTCTACATCAAATGATCACTGAGGACTTAACAAAAACCAAACATCCATTCCAATACACCAAACCATGATGTACTGTCATCATTCATAAATCATAATCCCTTCTGTGCTTTTGTTTTTTAATAAAAGGGCATACAACATAATTGAACCCTTACAGACTCCATAAGCTCAACAAGCATCCAACTTATATCCACCAACAGTCCAACATATATCCAACAACAAAATAACATAACATATCCATCGCCAACAACAATGTCAAAGGGAGTCCACAATATCAAAATAATCCATAATCTACCAAACCAGTCAACTATAACCAACAATATCACCAATATCATAATTCACTAGAAAATGCATATAGGTCCACAACCACAATCAAACCAGTCCAACCCCATAATCCAACTCATCCATCACAGAATAATAATAGTCCATAATCATCCAAGAAATCCAACATAAACCAATATCATTAAAAGTAATACAACAAAAGCATAATAATACAACACAACCATCCTATCACAGAGCAACATTATCCAACAGTAGGTATCCATAATCAACCAACAAATCCAACACAATCCAATATTAGTAAAAGTAACCCAACCAAAGCATAATAATCCAAGACATCCATCCTATCACAGAGCAACATATTTCAACTAATCCATCAAAGAAGAACGTAATCGAAGACCAAATGCATAATAATCCAAGCAAAGGGACTGATGAATAAATTAAACGAAAATGGAATAAAATCAGAGAAAAGAGAAGGGTTAGTGATTGTTACGCAAGGGATCACTCAGAGGGTTGAACCCTAGGGTTCATCCGCCTCACAGAGCGCTGGTGACCATGGCATGGGTATTCAGATCTGGACATGGGAGGAGCACTGAGGGCAGATCTCTTGGAAGAAGGAGTATCGTCCTCCTCTTTCTCGTATTCCTCATCAGAAAACAAAAAGATCAGCTCATGGTCAGGCAACCCACGAATCCTGCTGAGTGCCCTTGCCGCTGCTTTTCTATGTGCTCGGAGTTTTGTCGGAGGTCGAGGCCTCTTAGATCTATCCCTTTTTGGTGGGTACAGAACTCCCTTCACCACTTTCCGCCTTGAGATCTACAGCAATCTCAGTGAAATCAAGCGACTTCTTCCTTTTCGATACACCCTTACCCTCTCGCTTCAGACGTTCCTTTTCCTCAACACTTTCAAGTACTTTACCAAGAGCTTTATAGGTGTAATCAGTGCAGTAGGGGCCTGAAAAACTGGATTCATAGAAGTGACGAGGAAACGGTGACCTTGTCTCTATGGATTGAATCAGGGAGAGGATCAAGTTCCCTTCAGCCTCATCAGTAGTTACCATGAAAGCATCGTGAAAGGGGGTCCAAGTTCACCATGTTTGGGGGACTCGAATTCTCAGAGAAAATGGACAGATCTAGAGAGAGAATGTGCAATAGACAAATGAACAGGAATAGAGAGAGAGAGTGAAGAAAAAATAAGAACAAGGGTTCTTCTGAAGAATTCTCCAGATGAAATAGAGAAACCCAACCATCACAATTAATTTTGGGTGGTTGGGATGAGTAATAAATGAGGGGAGGTGGGAGGGTTTCTGATTTAATATGGATGGAGTAGTTAGTTTACTGATTTTAGATTATGTGTTAGTAATTAGGATTAAAGTAAAGTAAGGATAAATTAATGGAAAAAAATAATAAGTTAAGTAAGGGTAAAATTGTAATTTCCAGGTTTTTTGTATACCAAAAATAGAAATAAAACAGAAAGTTGCACATAACCCTGATCATCCCGAAATGGCAAAAGTTGCAGAAAACATTTAACGGAGGTAGTAATATAAAAACAACTCGATCACTTGGTTTCAACCACAACAAATATTTTTAAATAGTATTATTATTAGCTAGCTAACACAATAATACACAACGTCAAAGATTGCACTTAAAAAGAAACGTAGGAAGTATACTTTTCACTAAAACACAAATGATTTTGTAAAATTAAAACCTTAACTATTTACAGGCGGCATTCTGTTCTTGCTTAATCGAGTCTTTTTCCCAAATATTATTATAAGATAAATAAAAAATTAAAAAATTAAAAAAAAAAAAAAAAAAAGTTACGAAAATGATGACTCATTTCTATGTCAAAAAAAGGGGTGGAGGTAGGATGACTCGTCAAACAATTGGAATCTAGTAAGAAAGCTCTATAATTTATGTCTATGACACAAGAATACACCTTTTACTAAGTTTCTAACAAATGATTGATTAATTTATGGCAAAATCTCAACTTCTTATAAACTTTATTTTAAATCATCTAGACAAGATCCTCCATACAAGCAACCAATCATTCTTTTGTTATTGTAACGTACCATGCTCTTCTTCTTTAATTTGTTAAAATAATTACTATGTTTATAGATTGTTACGTTAGAGCATTGCACTTAACCAAACACCTAGAATTGTGTGGGGGTGTCCATGACGAAGCAGCAAACCAACAAGTTAAACAATATTGTAACAGCTTATATTATGGATTTGGGCCACATCATTTTCCAATAAGATTTGTCGTACATAAATATAATTTTATTTTTATCTTAATCTAGAAAGAAAAAAAAAAAAAAGAGAGACTAGTTATTAAAATAAATAATCATTTATGTTGAATTCAGAGTTGTTGAGAAAACTCATCAACAATTAGAACTCACAGATAAACAAACCCAAAGAACTCACAAAAAACTAATTAACCTTTAATAAAATGGCATTATTACAAACTAATAAATTAAAGAAATATAAATAATAACTCGAAAAATATGCAACAATTAATAGATGGCAAAATAGATGTAATTTTTAGTGATTAATGTACTCGCATTTGTAATGAGCTTTACAATTAATTTCTTTTACAATGTCCACCAAAAAATTAAAAAAAAATAATTTTTATAGTATAATGCCGCTCTATTAAAAAGTTTTCTCTTCCGTCAAAAAAAAAAAAAAAAAGTATTCTCATTAGTTGACGGTAAATTTTAATAGATGAAAATATGAAATTGTA